CAAAGCTTGATATGTCATCTGGATCTGTTGTGTCGGTAATCAAGCAGCCATACAACCTTTCATCAAGCTTGCTAATATTTCTGAGAGTAAAGATAACTTGACTTCCGGTTTGCCTCCCTGACACTCTTCCAATATATGCTGCTGGCGTTTTAACTGGTAGTGGGTTGCCTTTAAAAAAAGACACTAGCAACCCAGGCGGAGTATCAAAAGCAAAAGGAGTGGCTGCCAATCCCCACTCAACCCTGGTAAACGATGATGAGAAGGCCCAAGTAAAGTTTACAGAACAACCAGCTGTTCCTCTAACAACATTTCCGTTATATGAGGACGTGAAACTTTGATTTACTGCAAGAAAGGTTAAAAATTACATGTCATACTGAAAGAACAACTGCCAATGCAAGACAAATTTGTAATTCTTGCTCTTATTATTGTGACCTCCTGCATTTTTGGTTATTATTAAAATGATTAGAAGGGGTAATTTAAAAGCGTATAAGATCCGTGTCTGGGAATGCATGGTCTTTTCTTTTACATATTTCAAAAATTGCGTAATGGCTAATGTTAGTTTCAGATAGTATGGAACGAATTTATCATCCGAATAACATGTAATTGTAATGTTTTCAAACAGGGGCTCATTGTTGAATATTTTAAAAGCTTTAAAAGAAAAGTATTCATTAACTATGAGTTAAGTGACCGACTTTTCATCTAAACACAGTCGCCGTATTTCCTTCTTTACTTCGAGTCTCGCAATCAAGGTCGTCCAATTTATCCGATTACATGACACGATGGAATACGTCCGGCTTAATGTCCACATGAGTCTGCTAATGGTGCAAAAACATACAAACTTATGATTTCGAGGCTGTTCACTAAAGAACAATATTTGCGCGACGGAGTATCACTCGATAAGTTGTATCGCTAATCCTGCACTCTTACAACTTAATTTCTATCACTTTGATTAATGTTCCTGAGAAAGTGTACTTTCTCTCCGTTGGGAACTATATAAACTCCTTTTTTTCTGCAATTTTGTCAATCAACAGAATTTTGGCCCATAATCAACGGCCGTTCGTTTTATCATGAAACGAATTAAGTGTGGAAAGTTTGGAATAGTGTACGATTTGTTTTAAGTAGGGGTGACTGGGTATTTACAAGTTATTTATAATACTGACCTACCATTCCCCTAATACACTCATGTTTCTTTCGCATGCCATCTTAATTTAGCGAGGTTATAAAAGGGGTAATGAGTCTTAGAACTTAGGCTATCTCTATACTACTCTGCTAAGTTAATAAGTCTTAAAACGGTTGTCGTGTACATTGTTCGCGTTGGACGGAAAGCCGTAAATCAGCATAGATTTGTATGTTTTACTCGACCTTAACACTCTTGTAGAGCGATGATAGCCTAAATAAAAGTATATATACATACCTTCATGCGGAAGAAGTAGCAGTAAGTGGAATACAATCCTCAAACCTTCCAATCCAACATTTAAAACGCATCTCATGTTAGTTGGAAGCGTAGCCAGTCGCAAATTATTCGCCAGTAAACGAGGGACACCTACTCCGACTCACAAAAAGCGAAAGTGACAGTGACGCTGTGACAGTTTGGAATCAACTTTCAGCTGAAGCAAAAAGGTCATTAATGGAACTGCAATAACGTCTTTAGCGGAAGTCAATAGCCACACCATGTCTTAATTATCGTGATTTGAGTTAATATTGACTTTTTTTTCCCTTTATAATATAATTAGTTTCCTATATGACATATATAACGGAAAGAAACAGGTTCTATCTTTTAGGACCATCTCAGGCGCGTGTGGCTCAGAAGAAGGCTCTAAAGACAATATATTTTTTCATTTGTCAAACAACAAGAATTTAGGAAAAACTGTTTGGATGCAGAGGTCCACGCAATGCGCAAATAAATCTGACAGGTTTCTCTTGCCGGATCTCTAATTAAAGAGATGCTGTAGCCAGACGTCAGTTGATGTGTATAAAATGAAACAAAACTGCATGCGACGCTGGCACTACAGCAACGAGCTGATTTATTATGGGCCAATATATGACTAACAAAATTAGCCTTCCTCAGGGACAGAGCTATACCGAGAGAAAATATTTTTTTTTAAGGGCCGATTTAAAAAATATTTTCTGTCCGTAAAGCTCTGGCCTTGAGGAAGGCTAATTTTGTTAGCCGACATATTGGTCTTTATAAAATAACTAAGATAGTATGCGCGCTCTGATTGGCCGGGCGGCGTGTTTGCATGAGAGTATGTAAACATGGTTGTGGCGTCAAGATGTTTTGCTTTTCGCGCGCTAATCACGCAATCACAAATTTGGAAACGTTTTTGAGTTGAAAACTCCACACATTTACTTTATTTATACCCATTCCCTCGTCAGCTGAAACTTGCGAAACATGCTGTGTCAATTGTTTTTTTTTCGCTTAAGCTAACATTGTAAGCGACAAAAACCCATGTTAAAAATGAAACAAAACTGAATGCAAGGCTGGCACTTCGGCAAATGGCCGATTTCTTATTTAAGCAATAGAAAACGTTTTCCGTGTTTGCATAGCCTGGTATAAACACGAGATAGTTTGGGGGAATTCGAGACAGTTTTCCAATCCGAGACGAAGTCGAAGGTTTGCACAACTGTCTCGAATTCTCCTAACCCCTCGAGTGTTTATATCAGGCTATGCAAGTACAGGAAAACAGTTTTCTATCGCTTTTAAAAATTGACTTTCCCGAGAAAAAAAAAACAAAATTTGTTGTTTAGGGCACTGATTAAAAGAGAAATTCTTAAAGCTTTCTGTATTTTTGTTTGCAGTTGCATGTGTACTATACTGTATTTGTATTCTATTCTCCATTTATGTTTTAGTAAAGCAGCTTTAAAAGATAACAGTTAGAGAATATAAATTGAGAAGGGCAAGATATACAGTGGAACCTCTTCTTTAGGACACCTCTATTCAGTGGACACAAAATTTGGTCCCGAGGGAATGTTGAGACATAATCTTTGCATTTGCTTAAGAAGGGACACCTGGCAGGGGAAAAGGACGCTCTTTCTCAGGGTCCCGAAACCCGATTTTAACCTTCTTGCTTGTTACTCAAAAAGTGACTGACCACAAAAAAGGTTGATAAGTTCCATTGTTCAATAGTAAAATTGGCTACAACTTTAAAACATGAACTATATTTCGCTCAAATCAATGTATTAAACTTGTGGGAATTCAACACACAACATCGCGGAGATATTATAAATTAAATCATGATTTTTTAATTATTATCTGGCCTCTTTAGATAATGACTGCAGCAGATTCCCATGCCAGGCACAATAAAAATATATATATTTTAGTAAAGCATCCATTCAGGGGAAACCTTTATTCAGGGGACACTTGCCTTGCTCCCAAGGGTATCCCCTGAATTAGGTTCCACTGTAGTAGAATTTATTATAATACTGTTTCAATTAGATCAAATTTTATAAATTTAAGAGGAAATATAGAAGAGAGGAAACGGGAAACACGCAAGTAATATAGAAGATACCAGGGTCTGTGTGTGTCAATAAAGTGATTAATACATGTACACTAGAAGTGACTGATATGAAACAAACCCGGTATACTGATCAGCGGTTCTGGAATCCCTAATTTGCTATCAACTACCGATTTCTTCACAGAGACTCAAAACAAACAAAATAGTTTGCCGAAAGTTTCTGATTTCAGATTTGATAACTTTTCTTCCTATTTCGACTGAAATGAGTCATTTAATTGCGATGTGTGAATGAGCAAATTTTATATATTTATTTCATCTAATTTTTCTTTAAATTTTTTAGCACTGAAAAATTTTTTCCGAGTCGCGCACATTGCCTCCACTAGGGATAAACGATAAATTGAGCCAAAGAATGAATTCAAACTATTTCGAATCGCACAACAATAACCTATAAACGCAAAATTAGGTACGTTTCCAAATAATACTTTTTTAACGCGACTCCATTACAGTTGACCCACGTGTCAATCCCCAAATTTCAGCGGATCTGTGTAATCTTTAACTCCCTGCGCTGCCGGTCATTAGTAATTTCCCGAATTAGTACATACAGAATGAGTGTTTCTGGCGTTTTAAGCAATCTGATTGGTTCTCTTTCTCGGACTATGATGTGGTGAATATAAAGCAAAACAAAATCGCTGTCGTAATCTCGGTTTTTTGCAGGGGTGTTTTGCCAAAGTTTTAGAGTAAGAACTATTTGAAAATAAAAGAAAATCCTTGCGTTATGATTTTGAAGGTAAGAAAATACTTCAAAGAGTTAACAGCGTGATTTATTTTTTAACGGTCGCCATGTTTAAAGTCAACTACAGAGGAGAACGAAACCGGATTGTGAACTCAGGATTTCCTAACAAGACTTTTTTTCCCTAGAAATCCAAGTTAACTTATATATATATAAAAAAATAGAAAGAAATGAAACCAAATATTTTCAAAAATTGTGTAAGGTAGCAAGTAAACAGGACAAAACAATGCGACAGAAAAACAGCACTCACATCGATCGGAGCCGACATTGTCAGCCTTTGCAAGACGCAACAAAAAAACCTTACTTTTTTGGTGTGTTGACAGAATCGTAAATTTCTATATTTCTTCTCAGATGAGGTACTAATTGAAACTTTCGCCGATTTTTTTTTAACCCGCTAATGCGATAGCTTTCAAAAGGATGGAAGGATAGAATCTATGTTTGGCCATGTTGACAATACTGTAAAAAGTCTAACTTTTGCGTATCTCTTCTTGTTTACGGCTAGCATGTTCACTCATTGTTTTAACCCGTCAAACAAACGCTGATGATTTCCTTTCTGATTCTGTTGAGATCAATTCGTGTGTATACTAAAACAATTATTATTTTCAATCGGAGCGAAAATTGGCCTAAGGAATATCTACTTCGCCGCGAAATATGCGCCACTATTCACCTCGATCTCAAAAAATAATTGTGAAATATTAAGCTGATGATTTCATGGCAGAATGGAAATTATAACTTTATCGTAATCAAATAATAAACTAGACGAATGAATGTGTCATATGATACTTACAGTTTACTAGCAGTATTAGCTGCTTTTCTGTAATCCCAGCGGAGTTGTTCGCTTTGCATGTATACGATCCTGCATCTGCTTTACTGATTGAGCTAAAATTTAGTGTAGCTGTTTTAGAGCCAGAATTCTTCACTCTTCCATTATGAATCCAGCTGACATATGGGACTGGTTTACCAGAGGTTTTACAGCTGATACTAACAGCCTCGCTTTCACGGTAAGTTACCTTGCCTGATTCAGGATGAGTTATAATCGGTATCTCTGCAAAATGAGGCAAATTAAAAGGCCAAACTTAAAATAATATATTGCATTGCAGATCAATACAAGGACAAAACGTTGCTTACTGAGCTGGCTTAAAATTTGTAATACTGTGATCTTTAGAAGAAAACTGTTTTGAAGAAATATTTTGTATTTTTTCTTGCCCCTTTTATCGGGACGATCTATGTTGGTGCCTCACTTTCCTACCCACGTTGACGTGATGTAAGATAACTGACGTTTTCTTCACGGTAGCAAAACGCGCGATGCCTCTTGCTCCGCGGGCGCGAACACGTGCAGAATCTTTGCCGGTGGTGGCATTATCTAAGGTTAATCATTTTTCAAGATATTGGCCACGTCAAGAGTTTGAATTTGTTTAGCCAGATTAAATTTTATCAAAAAGTAAATTCAAAAAGTCAGGAAACAACTGAAACTTTCACGGACTTTCAGATTTCACTGAAGTAAAAGAACACATGAGGAGAGAAATGAAGAAAAAGGTAAGTAGATGTCAAGCTTCTAATTGAAGATGAACAATAAAGAGCAGACTTTTATCTCGGTATCCCAGCTACCCAGGCCAGCTCTGATGTTAGGTCATTTGTTGCCTTTGATTAATGTGTCGAGCTCTCCGCAAATCCAGCCATCCTTGCAAGTTACCGGGCGAATCCAACTCAACCCCATTAAGCTTTCCTCGTAAAGAGTATGACAATAGCTTGTTGATGTTTTACACTAGTGGCCTTCACTAAGATTATCGCAATTCTGATTTTAGTTTACAGAATGTCTGTTCACACTATGTTATGATTTTGAAATTTCTTTTGAATTTAGTTGTTAAGGCTTTATTCCCTTTACATAAATATGATCTACAAGCCCGTTTTCATGTAGAAAGGCGAGAAGTTTGAATCTGCCCGTCTAGTTAGCACTTTGAGCAAAACAGATCTACATTTGCAGTATCCATACTGGGCTCATCCTAGTATATTTTACCGAGAGACATAACCTCATTGATTAAAATTTATGTATACAATACATGTGTGTGCAACAGGATAATCAACCAGAACAGATGTTTTGGAAAGCTTAATTTAACATAATACAGGCGTTACTTGATGGCAGTAACTGACATTATATGGCCTTTGTTCGTGCGAGGTTTAATAAAGCCTTTAGCCCCACTAGTTTTCTCCGGAATGCGTGGATCTGAATTACTCTATCAGTATGTAATTGTGTTCACTAGTTGTTTTGTCAGTGAATGTAATGATTTCCAGCTTTTTTTTTTTCCTTTTCTAATGGTGGGCCCAGCTCTTTGGATAGTGATATGCAGATCAAAATTAAAAAAAGCAAAAATTATCGAGAGTGATACCTTTTTTAGATAACAAGAGTACTTGGACTGGAGCGTGATGCTATGTAATTACTCATTTCGCAATTACTTTAGAATCATCAGTAGAAAACGACATTGTGTATTCATCAAACTTGTCGCGAGATTCGCGTTGGGCATCTTCATGATGAAAAACTGTTGACCACGCTACTAGGTGATCATTTTACCTGTCACAATTGGCTAATCAGAGGGTATATCAGGAGTTGATACACCGGAACAGGCTGTTAAAAAATGCGCACAGGCTTCGCCGATTTCTCCGTCTTTCTCGATTTCGATCGGGGAGCCTGGAACAGGATACTTTTACTAGAAAAAGAGTTACGTCAGCAAGACACAACAGCAAAACATCACAAAGTCTGTAAAAACAAAGAAAACAACGAAAGGTTTCGTAAATTTATTTTCAACAAAAACCCAGCTAATACAAAAGCTTAAACACTCAAAGTGATATGAGTGCATGCAAGAGGTTTTGTCTGACAGAAAGCGAGAACAAAGAACTTTTATATCCCTAGGAGGAACTGAATTTACTTTTATACACTATTTAAAAAACTATTAAGAAACTGGATATGGAAATGAGTAGGAGCCTGGCAGTCTAAAGTACTGCCAGCGAAGCATTCAAAGTTCCTTGAACGAAGCTGGTTCATTGAAGGAGATACTTTCAACCTTTCAAGAGAGGTTTTAAGTGCCAAGCAAAGACGACTCGTGGTAGACGTCGGCCAAAGGATAAAATCACAACCACGGCCCGTGAGTTAACAAAGGCAGAAAAAGACAAACGTTTTGCTTGCAGAGAATTTAGCACCTCAAAACCGAATATCCTTTAACTTACCATATGGTGGATACTTGCCCTCTACTTTGGCTTTCGTGCTCGCGGGCTGAAATGTGAAGACGTTAATTTGCTTTGACGAGAGACAGAGAAAGAAACAACGATATTCCTATGTGGAAACATGAACGAGGGTCCGGAACCCGTCAAGGCAAAGGCATACCCTACAGTGTTCGCTCTTTTCATCCCACCGAGGAAGAAACTGGAAATAAACGTTGTCCGGTTAAAATCTACAAAGAATTTACCGAGAAAATGCAGGGTTGTAGTGTAGAGTCTCCAACCACCCGGGGCGAAAAACGTACATTTCACGTCTTCTTGAAGCAAAAGTTGCAGCGAATTTTGGTCGCCGAAGATTAGAAAGTATCGTTTCCTTCGAATCCGCCTCGTATGAGCATCAACGGCGAATGTCGCTTGCGCTGAGCCGCTCAGGGAACAACCAAGTTTCCACTCGAACAGAAACATCTCTACTCTTCCACCACATCAGTCACAAATGTTCAGTCTGCTCCGGTGCAGATGGGATCTGATTTCTTTGCGGTTGCAGCGATTGGCAGCTTCAAAAGCTACACACTCAACATTCAGCTAATGTTAGGGCAGCTTTGCAGCACTGAAACCACAACACTCCGGACCATGCGATCAAGGGACCGTGTGAGTAATACTGAATGAACTGAGTGACGGCGAGGCCTTTTTCGTTACCTTTTTCTCTATTTCTTTTTGGTTTGAGTTCCATTTTAGAAGCTTGAGCAGCTTTTTGTAGCTTTGTGAGTTCGACTGAGAATTTTGACATCTACTCATGAAACTTGAAACCAATAAAATGATGTTATTATTGAGTTTGTCCATTCGGGAACGAGTACGCGTCATTGACCAGTTGGTCTTTCTTCCCGGAACATTTCACTCGTTTCGCCAGGAAGAAAAAGGCGAACTATTGGCTAAAAACATAGCAAGAACAGCAAGATCAGAATACTCAAGGTCGAGGTACGTGTTATCAGCTGAGCCGAAGGCCGAGGCTGATAACACTTACCGAGAACTTGATTATTTAGGATATCAGAAAAGCTGAATCTAACAATTGTTTTATTATACATTGTAAGAAAATCGATGACGACAAACACACCATCGCAAGGAACCTGAATTGATATAGTCAGATTAGTCAACCTGACTAATCTGTAGGTTGTACTGATTTCCAAAATTAGCTGTAGGTTCTTAGCCACTGAGAAGACGGATAAAAAGTGCAATGTATAGTAATCGTTAAATATTGGCCCCGTTCTTTATTTTGCATTTCTTTTAACCTCGACTTCGTCTAGGGCAATAAAAACACAAAAAAGAACTGGGGCCAATATCCAGCCATGACCGAACACTTGGTGAATACGCATTTAATGATACAAAAGTTTATGAGTAAGAAGTAATATTGATAAACAGCCTCTCCTCTTTCCATTCATATCAAAGTTTGCCATCAGTTGCTGCGATTGAAGTAGATTATGTGAATTTCTTTCGCTTTTCGATATTGCTAGCTATAAGTCTACATATTAATGAACGCCACTGTTAATTATTTTAAGATGCCCCAGTGACGCTCACTTATTAGATTAGAAGATTTTCTACAAGTCATCACGATACACCTTTTCTATAGTGAAACGATTTTATGCTATTGATAATAACTGACCTTGAATTAATAATACCTTCAACAATCAACTGCACGTCATCATACTGATCGGAAAGCCCAAAACCTGCTCTTAAAATGCAGAGGTAATGGTTTGCATCTTGTTTGCTAATGGCATTGAGGGAAAAGAAGACTTCACCAGACTTCAAGTTTCCACTACGACTCCCAGTAACACGACTAACATATCCGGGATTTAGAAACGTTTGCGCACCATTTTTGTTTAAGGACAATATTTTTCCATTTGATTCAAAATCATTAGTCACACCAGCTCTCTTTATTCCCCAATCAACTGCGCCCACATCACCAGAAAATGTCCATGTGAAGTTGACAGATAAACCAACTTTGCTCTTTATGGTCCGTCCTTGATATGATTTTGTAAATTTTACAGCAGCTAAAATAAAACATATATCTAAATGAATTTATGTAAACATGGCTTCAGTGAGCGTCTACAGGTCCTATGCTATGTATGCTCTTGGTACCAAGACTTTGACCCTCCCCACCCAGGCCGCTTGGTGACTGTCTACTCAGCTCTGCAATTATCATGATAATTATTGTCAACAGGGGCCTGATTGAGCTGGCTCGGGCAAAGTACAAACAAGGTACTTGCCAGTAAAAGCCTTTAGTGGACACTGCTGTTTACTGAAGGGGTTGTGTCAAAATAGTTCCCCTCCCTACCCTACTTGTTTTGCCCCTCCAGGTCTGATCCACTCACCCAGTGTTAGGGCAGTCCCTGGGCTATCCAGCTATACCGACCAAGACGGCGAGCCCCCTACTTTTTTGGACACCGCACTGGCCTGGAGCCGGGCTGCACCCGGTGCCAGGCGAAAACCTAGTGGCCACGTTTGAACTAAATCAGACAGAATTACAATTGTGACAACGAAATATAACAACACAGATATTGAGCGGGCAATTTGTATGGCCGTTTACAATGGCGAGTCAATGAAAGTTTATGATATTAAATACACTAAGATGATTCAACAAAATTGTCTGGATAGCATAAATGGTTTTATTTATGGTTCAATTTTTGAAATAATCTTGACCGTGCTAATCGGTCGTTTACTTTCGTCACCCTGGTGGCGACGTAGTTTGAGGTCGATCTTTGTAGCTGTCGAAATATTTTATCTTTTTTTTAGCTAATTGGTGGTTTGTTTGATTTTCAATCATTGTTTTGGTACTTTTATTACAAACTACATGGCTTCTCATTCATGAAGAATCTGGAACATTTAGGAAGATTGGTTTTGCCGCTTCCACGCAGATGTTTAAACTTGTGTAATGAAAAGAAGGCAACATTGCCAAGACGTCGGTTAAAACCAGCCTCGTACCCGGGCCAGTTCGCGCTATCAGAGTTACCAGAGGAGGCTTGGAACCGAGTGCGATAGCGTGAGGCCTGGCAAAAAATGGCAAAAAAAAATCCCAGATAATTTGTCGACGAAAATCCTCTGTTTTCTGTGACGATCACGGAATATTTCGGGCTCATGAGATTAATACATCTCTTCCGACCCTCTGTGGACCGTTTCATCTAATAGCAACGAAATCTGGAGGGCTTTTTTTCACCAGAAACACGGGTAAGTTAAGCATATTATTTACAGTGTTGTTCGCTACACGAAGCTAGAAAAAAGTTCCTTCGTAGTTGGACATGGGACGATCACTGTATACTGTATTGACACTAGTATCAAAGGCTTCATTTTCATTGAACAAAATGGGCTTGATTTCTTAGTTTACAGGGCTATAGTTGGCCTATTTTGCCTTGCTTTTCGAATTGTTGTGGGAAAAAATCACGAGAATCATTTACACAGTTTCACGAGAAAACCAATACTCCGTATAGTCTCCCCTATAGCTTATAGCAATACTCCGTATAGCCTCCCCTATAGCTTGTATCTGCCACATTGAGGCGAATTCAAAAGGCTGACAGCATTTCGTGACTTCCGTTTTGTATATTTCATGGACAAAGGCAGCGTCTATGAGTTGATCCACTATCGTTTGAGACGACACCTAGGCTAGAAGTCTCTCATGCATTGTGCTGCGATTCGATTAACGAGTTCTTTATCCGCCAGATGATATGCTGAGTACACAGCTAGTTCGATGACACATCAGTTCACGAAGTTCAACATGCTTTAACTCATTCCCGACAGGCAGCTTCCATCACCAGTTATATTTAATGGAACACACTCCTGAGATGGGACGATTTGTTGGGCTAAATTAAATCCATTTTTTTTATGCAATCAAAGCTCGAAATTACTGACCTACATGTACGATAGTAACAAAAGTACAAGCGAAACGATTTCTTGAGAGAAACTTCTCCGACACTCTCTATGTATTTGATGGCAAACGTTGATTAAAGAATCCCAACCTACTTCCGACGCTTTTTTTTTGTTTCTTCAAGAATTTTGGCTGAAGTCGCATTCCTGGGTGGCGCCGCTATTTCGGATTTGCCATTATTTGCCAAGCGTCCTCGGCGAATTTTCCCGACAAGCTTGATAGATGACGTCACATCCGAAATCGCCGAGGACGACTGGGAACGAGGCTGGGTTAAAACTCTTTTAAAAGCGTCGATTTTACAGTTATTTATGATTTTAGCTAGGTTGCACATATGTCCGCAGATCTAAAGTGAGAAGTTTGCTTCAGGACGAATATCCTAAGATTAGTTGATGTGCGTAAACTCCTTCCGACCGAATCCCAGTAAACCAGACGTACTAAATCCAGAAACATTTATGAATTCGCAGATAATCCCCTCTAGTGACAAGTAACGTAACCTGAATATCGACATGTATGACCGGGGTTTCCGTTACAATAATGGTGACAAGCAATTAGTTCAGGGAAAGCGTGACCACTGAACTGGTCAATTTAGTTAGTAAGTGATCGTGAAATTGCATTCGACTATAATTAGAGATTAGGTCAAACGGTTTTGCGTAGAACGGGCACATTATGAACAGTAAGTGTACGCCTTAGCGAAAAATTCAGCCATTTTTTTTTTAAAATCTCTAAGTTGCTTACTTTTGTTAATTGAGAGCTGAAGCTGACAGAGTTTTCTGTCAACTTGTGATGTATTTTAATAACTGTCTTTTCCCACTGGATGTAGAAAAATGAAATACAGCTGCTGGTTGGGTTTTTGGTTGAGCAATGCGTCGCTTGTCAAAATTCGGTTATCCGATTTCGGATGGCATCCTTTTCGTTTTTCACCTTGCTTAATGCGTAAGAGGGCTTAAAAGTCTCAAGCATGCAACTGTGGCCATCCTTGATATCTTTAGGAACTGAATCTCGAATGGTAAGCCTGACTAATTATTGTAATTGATGTTTGTTTTTGTTATACCTAATTTCATGAAGTCGAGCACAGTTTATGCAGCAAGTTTATGCACGTTTGTAAGATTTGAGTCAATGATCTGACCTAGTATCAGGTTTGATATAAGCTTTCAGAACTTTAAACGGCCTTCAGATATATTTTCTCACCGCAAAAAGAAAAAAAGCGTACCGAATAATATTTAGCTGTAAATTTGGCTGTAGAAAGAGAAATTTGAGCGATTTTCTTGCTTCAAGGAGTGGCATCTTTGAAAAAAGCAATCACCAGGAGGCCGGCTGAAATTAAATATTAAAACATAATTAATTTGTAAGTTTAAAGAATCAGGATTTTAAGAGACACTTTAATACTCGTCTTCGTGAATGAAAATTGTTGTCTCTGTAAATGTTTCACCAAATTATCTTTCTTTTATTGATTATTAGTGTCTCTCTTGCAATTTTATCGCTCGTCCGTGGCGTTTGTTTTCATTGTTCATGAACATCTCTTGCAGGAGTACTTTAAAAAAATGTCGCACGTATCAAACGCTTTATAAGATTACACATCGTTATAACCTAAACCATTAAATAACAAAAAATAATAATAATAAATTCTTTATTATGTTGAAGCGTAACTCTATTAAAGTTCATTCAAACACTCGACCACACTGACAGCTCGCACTAGAAACGAGAACCGGCCAGCCGTATAGGTGGGGGCGTATGAGTGATTTTGGAAATTTTTTGAGCGGTTTCGCAAAAAGCCCAGGATTGATCGTCCTGAACATCGACTGAGTGAAAAATTGAAAAATTGTGAAATACCGCATTCTGTCCGAGGTCTGTATGATAAATTCTACGTACTCTTTCACCTCAGATGTGATGTATAAAAAGTATAAAAGGTTGGTTTACACACCTCCAGATTTGTTCGCAATAATTTGTAAAGTAAACCTGTGGAAAACAAAAAAATTCGGCCTGATTTGTTTTCCAAGAATTTGTTTTCGAGGCCTTATCTACAGCTGTGATCAAGAGCCATTATAGCTGTTGAATGTGATCGAAAATGTTTGCTATTTTTTAGGTGTACATATAAGGCTATCAACTCGATGTAAGATGTTTCACTCTAAAATAACTTAGCGTTAAAAGTCACATAAAATGTGCCCTTAAGTTAAGTGATTTGTGGATTACAAGTCTATTGTTTGATTTAAATTATAAATTTATTAATGGGAGCTTCGCTTTTAGCCCTGGCTAAATCTATATATTATTTTAAAACTCATACCAAACTGTTGAGAACATTATAGTGTCACTATTAATACAATTATTATATAGCAATAAGATAAAATACAGACGAACATAACTATTTACCAACAAAAATTGTGTAACAGTTGCCGCTACTTCTATGTTAACTGTTTTTTTTTTCGTTTTTTTTATTAATTTCTCTCATTTCACATAATATTACATTACATTACAATATCAACTCACCGATAAATAATAATAAATGTACTGACAAAACGTGACTAATTACAAAGTCAAAATGCAAATTACAAATGCAAAAAGAAAACACCCAACTTAAGGTGGCTCGACTGGATTTTTTGGGGTTGATACCTCCCAACTTTGAGCATTAACTACGTCGGCATGAGTAAAGATCTGGAAAAAATGTTACCACAAATGTATTAAATAAAGATGAAAATTTCTTATGATCTGGGTTTTATTGCAATCGGAGTCGCCATGGCAACGTAATGACGCCATTACGTTTTTCATTTATCTTTGTGTTTCTCTGTTCCAGGAGATTTTTGAAGAAATCGCTTTAGGGAGTATGTACCTGCTATAATTGCCTCCATTATGGCAAAGTTTGAACAAATTCTATGAGAGCGTTTTCGAAATATTTTGAAATGTAGTTTTAAGAATAATAAAAACAGTGAAATAGCATGCTACCTACACAATTCGCTAATATTTTAAGAAAATGATAAGCTTTGGGAACGAGGCTTCATCTCATAGCGGTTTGATTCCATTGAAAACTGTATACGAAAAAAGAGGGGAATTGCTCTGGGCGATCGCGAGTAAGAAGAATTTTATTAACTTGCATTTAGCTGCTTTTGATACAGTTTTTGGACGTAATTTGGTC